ATAATTGTATCGGCATCCAATGTTCGAAGTGCTCGATTGAGCATTTTATAGGTAAAACATTCACGTGTATACCACCATATTGCTCTTTGTGAACGATAATCACGTTCGAATTCATTGATAATTTGTAGTTCGCTTTTGTTATCGGTAAAAAGTTTGCGGCAAAAAATAGTCAAGTCTTTGATTGCCTTGCGATCATATTCGATATCAAGGAGAATTTCCTTGAATATCTGTGTATACATGAAAGTTGGCTCCAACTGATTTAAATTATCAGTCGAAGCCATTTCATTCATGGTAACAAAACTTACGGCTATGAGATCTTGGTCGCATTGCTTAACAGCCAATTGCAATTCTTGACAGATTTTCTTAATGTTTGTATAGACATCTTTGATTTTTGTCCAGTTTTTAGTCCATTCATAATGTTTGGATTGATTGTCACAGATAATGTAAATTGTATCTAACTGTGGCATATCATGAATTTCTGGAACTAAATGTTGACCGATAGCGCTTGAGATTATAACAAAGGCTCGTTCATTATCAATCTGATTTAGTAACTGTATGCACTGATCCGGTTGAGTACATAAATTGACGTTGTTGATCACGTTTTTCAGTTGATTCAATATGTCCTGACAGTTCTTATTTTTCGCATCGATGCTGGCATCTACCCAGATGAGAAGATAATTTTGTGTCATACGTTGTCGTGGTTGAAGAATATTGGATGCTGTGACAACATTTTGATTTGATTTTGATTTGCTCATTTTGATGTTGTTGTAATTTCTTTTTAAATGTGAATTTGTCAGTAGATGTTTTTCTTTATATAAGCAATGACTTGCTTTTTTTTCGATTTTTTTGTTGTCACTCAAGGATAAACGTCACGTAGTTACTTTTAAAAATAATATTATGCAGAACAAGAAACAAACAAATTTGTTGGTAACGTAATCGAAAAAGCGAACAAAAAAATAGAAGCCAACAACCGAATTCATTTTATTCTACTTCTTTTGAATTTTCTTTTGCTTTTGCCTACATCACCACTGCCATTCTCCACATATGCCATCAAAAAAGTATAGAAAGAGAAATAGAATTCTTTCAGTGATTTAGTTTTTCGGGAGCATATGGGTGTCGATGATATACCAATCTCCTACCCTTTCCCTTTGTCCACACCCACACCCTAGTATCACTTATTATTATAATAAAAAATATGTATTACAGTTGCCTTTTGATAATATTCAAAAATGTGTTTTAATTATTTTTCTGTTCAATATAAAAAAACTCATTATTGTTTCTTTTTTCTCAGTATGTTTGAAGAGTCTTATTGTTCAATGCAGAATATGATAAATAACAAAACATGAAGATAGTTCATCACTTGTATTTTTCTAAATAACCAAAGACGATAATACATCAATATTGATTGACAATATTCTATAAAATAAAAAGTTATTTATATCTGTTAATAAATATTTTTTTCAATATAATTTTCTATTAATTGTTCATGATTTTTACATAAACATGGTAATTTGTTTTTTTTCTTATTATAAACATTTGTTAAATAACTGATGTATGACTGTTCCTGAATAAGAACATAGAACTCGGTTGAATACTTGTATGAGTAGTTTCAAGAGTTTTAGAAGAAAATGAGAAATAATAATAAAAAAATACACACAGTTACTTCTATTATTTTACTTGTTCGGGTAAGTTATTAAGAAAAATAGATTAGTTATAACTAGACTTCATTTATTATCAAATGTTTGTGAATATTTACTCGTTCTAAATCAAACGTTCTTATCTTCATACAATAGTTACTTGCAATAGAAATAGAGTTACTCGACAAAAAGTCAAGAGAGAAACAGCTGATTATTTAATTAGATATGATTAGTATTTCTTAGTAATGATGGGTGAGTATGAGTGTGATTATTCTTTTTATTCGTACACACCCACATCCATTACTTTTTAAATAAAAGTTACTAAAAATATCAGTTATTTCCACCTCATTCTTAATTTTTATAATAATTAATCTAACAAGAACTCCGTTGAAATAATTGCTACGATTCTTTATATGTATATAGAATCTGTCTGAGATTGTCTTAAAACGTACAATGTTGTAGTATCAGATTAATTGGCAGACAGTTTTGAAAATCTGTACGAAAATATTGTCATGTCTATACAATTATTGTTGCAATCATTTTATAAAACTTTTCATACTAAATAGAACACAGGAATAGTTTTGATTTCCAATCATCAGAATTAATTACTGGCTTAAAAGCCATGTCCAGTTACAACAGAAACTTGCTCAGTTGAAGTGCTCGATTTGACTGATATTTCTTAGGGCAACTCTTTTCAATAAATTTTCATTTTGTCAATTATGACAAGACTTAAAAAAGAGATTCTTTCATCTTATGTACGCACACCCACACCCGGCGCTCAGACAATTCGTCGCACATGTAATTAATTCATGTACATAGACTTATGTTCTTTTTCTTAATTTACTTAAGTGAATTTGTTTTTCAATTAATAAATAGACATTAATTTTTGAATAACTCTCTTATCCTCTGAAAGTCAAATCGAATTTTATAATAGGATTTGAGAAAATTGAGAAAGATCAACTAATCTAAAAATTTAATAGAAAAGATTCCAAAAATAGGATAGTATCACTTGACTTATCTTGTTCATACAATTATCTACTGAAAAGTAATGAGCAAAATTAAAATACTCCTAAGCGAAAAGAAGAAAACCGATGCTTGGCTATAAAGATTATCTTTATACTGTCGAACATCAAAAACATTTCTCATGAATTGGTATTCTATCAATAAAAATTTGTCTTACATACATATCAATCTTGTTACAATTAATTACATGTGCAACGAATTGTCCGTCGCGAAATACGCTCGTTTTTATAAATTAGATAAAATATTTTTTGCTATTATTCGAAATCATTGTAAAGTGATGAGAATAGAACACATTGACATTTAGAGCATGCCTTATTATTCTTGTTGTTCTGTTCTAAAACCAAGAATAAGATGTCACATATTTACACGTGATCTAATTTGCTCTCTATTAATCAAATTATGAGTCTAAAAAAAGATTATGATGAACGATAACGTACGAAGTGAACATGCAGTACCCAAAGTATTAGAAAAGTCAGCACAAATACCTCAGTGAAGATTTATTTGTAATTATGTCTAAGAAAATGGTTTTAAAAACTATTCATCAGACTTCTTTTTTTATGTTAATTTTTGTGTTGATATACTTATGATGAATGGAAAAAAAAAGTTTAATTAAAATTATGAAGCATCTTTAGTAAAGTATAGAAACAGAGAAAAATGTAGGTGTAGAAGCATCTATATATTTTGTTTTGTATTGAAAGATATCAAGTTAATTATATTTCATATTTATCATTATATTATGAGATTGTAGTGTTAGTAACTAAGAAATTTTTTCTTATATATACTAGAAAATAATTTATTATTGTTGTTCCTCTTAGATATTCATCAAGAGTGTAATTTAATCAACAAACTGCTAACAATTCGTGTGATCAATGATGAATAACGGTAGTATGTTAACAACAAATAACATGAGCGATAATATCAATTTCAATCGTAATATATCTTCTAGTAATGATTCTTTCGGAGATAGTTTTACAACTGACATTGTCGTGTTATCGATATTTTCGCTTACTATTATTCTTGCTATTGCTTATTCGATTCTCATAGTCATTCGACCAGTATTTCGTAAAAATAAGCTTAACTGGTTCACAGTCAACGTTTGTCTCACAAGTGCATGGTTCGGTATTACTGTATTGGTGATAAATATACCAAAACTACTCAACATATCCAATTACATATCTTGTCGTATTGAAAATTTTTTGGTAGCTATGGCTGCGTGTCAGTTAACATATTCATATTGTGCGATTGCTATTAGTAGATTTCTCACTATCGTTTACGCACACAAACATATCTTCCATTCTAATATGTGTTTGTGGAGTCATATCATTATTGGATGGGTTATGGCTTTTATTGTTACTTCGCCTTACTTATTTTTGAACGGCTCTTTATGTTTACATTCAATGGATACAACTTTTTTGCCATATTATACCATCATTGTTCTTATTTTCTTACCAATTACAATCGTTACCATATGTGATACTCGTACTCTTTGGTTTGTACGTAATTCTACTCGTCGAGTCCATGCTACAGTTGCTATTAGTCAAGTATCTCATAAACGTGATATACTTTTAGTCAAAATAACAATTAGTAGTTTTATTACATTTCTAGTAGGATGGACTCCTTTCTTTGTAATACAGTTATTCGACAAAAGTACTTATATTCCATACGATCTGAACGTGTTTTTCCAAATATTAGTAGCGTCATCTGTACTTCAAGGTGTAATAACATTGATATCTACTAATCAACCAGTACGTACTTTTCTTAGAGAAGTAATCACAAAACGTCGTTCTCAAGTTCGAATATTAATGTGAATTGAATGCAATCTATTCTTCTCAATGCATGTGATCTTACATGTAATTCGTCTCAAATCAAATTTGCATACATGAAACTATAATGATGACATGCTTCTTATTTTCTTCTCTTCTAACTAATTTAAATAATAAAGAAATATCAAAAGAAATAAAAAGATGTAAAGTGACTCAGGGTGGAGTAGATGGGTCGGCGTAGGTATCATATTTATATCGTAATCACACCCACACTTGTTTTCGTAAGAAAACAGCGACATTTCATTTACTATTAGAGATACCTGACATCTAGTGGATTCTACTATTCGCACCATAAATTAACCAATAGAATGAAAAAAACATCTAGAGCTGTAAATATCTGTGTAGAATTTCCTTTAATAAATTTTTGATAGGAATATAATCGATCTATAGTGAGAAAAAAAGTATTACAATGAATTCTTTTCTTAACAAATGGCTCTCATTGGCAGATATCGTGTTGTTATCAATAAAATAATTTAACGCAACTCAATATTACTAATATATTTTTGTACTGTCACGTTATTTCGCAATAATTTTGCAATGAATAGCAATTATATTTTGTAATATAAATAAGCATCGTTTTTCTAATATATATCAATCTCAATTTTACAATAATCATGTCTGACGAAATAGAAACAAAACTAAATGAACTCAAAATAAATTCTATGTATGTCGGTGCTTTATCAAATATATCGATGGAAGCTCTTCTTCAATTTAATATACCAGGTGACCGTTACGCTGTATCATCAATTCGATTATTTCTTGGTAAATATCATGCACTTCCATGCCTTTTGACTTGTATGAGTGGTACTGAGAGAAAATTATTACATGTAACCACAATATTAGAGTATCTTTGTAATGAATTCAAACATGATTTAAACACTGATTTGATAACCGGAAATTATAATTCTCAAACAAATCAAATGGATATTAGTGCACGTTTTTGTGATTTAACAAATGGTATTATGCTCGAATTTCAAGACATTTATTTGAATCCTGGAGTATTAAATCCAAATCAATTGAAAGCTGATAAATCTGATGATGGTTTTTCAATTGCACAAACAATTACTATTTATTATCTTCCACATCAGATGACATCCGTGTCCGAGTTATGCAAATCTTTTTATAAAATGACAGTTTTGTCACCAGAACCATCTATAACATTTACTTTACACATGGTTTGTCGAAATCAAGGTGGATATTATCTCAGTTGTATTACTATTAAAAAACCACTTATTACCGATCTTGCACTTTATTATGGAAATGATTTTGTTTCAGTTCATGAAAAAATTATTAAAAGTTTGAATACATTAGAAAATAAAGGAATCGTTCTTTTACATGGTATCCCAGGTTCAGGTACGTTCAAAAGAAAATGATTAGGGAAATTTCTGAGAGTTTTCAAATGTGAAATAAAATTTACTTTGCCTTCAATAGGAAAAACTCATTATATTCGATATTTAATTCATGAAATTCAAGGTAAAACATTGATCTATGTTCCACCAGATATGGCAAAAGAGATTTCTTCACCAGATTTTCTTCCATTTCTTATGCAATATCCTGATTCAATTCTAATTATTGAAGATGCAGAAAATATTATTAAAGATCGAAATGAATCTTCTTTTCCATCACAAGCTGTTGCAAATCTTTTGAATTTGTAAATGAATTTTTCACAATTGACAAATTTATAAAGTGATAATTATTTCTTCATTTAGATCTGATGGTTTATTAGGTGATGCAATGCATCAACAAATTGTTGCTACATTTAATTGTGATTTAACAACAATTGATCCGGCTTTACTACGCAAAGGACGTTTAATTGCCAATTATGAATTTAATAAATTAGATTTAGAAAATTCAAAAATTCTCTCAGAGAAATTGGGATTTGGAACAAAGAACGTCACCGAACCGATGACATTGGCAGAAATTTATAATCAAAATGATTAAGTACTTCGAAATAGATTTTAATAAACTTCTAGTAGAATGTTATTTTGTGTCTTGTTTCAACGGGAAATATTCATTTAATACATATTTGCTTTCTATTTAAACTTTAATAAAAACCATCTTGAGGGTGTGGTTGAGAGGACGAGAATATTACCCACACCCTCAAGATGCGTGAATTTGAATCAGGCGACGGATTTGTTTTGTTGTTGTTGTTGGAGGTAAGTGCTGGTTCCCAGCCATTTGATCGAACCGTTTGAGGCTTGGGTGATGGATAAAATTGTTGTGGATCAATTTGAGAAATACTTAGCTGCAGATTTTGATTAAGAAATGTACCTGTATTCCAATTACTTGATCGGTGACTCATTGTTTGACTGATCCTCGGATCAGTCAAGTTTTGAGACAAAGGGAGTAAAGGATAATCAGATCTTCGAGGCTCTATTGTATACGGAGATATTTGATTTTCCATGTAGTCCTATACAAATAAAATATTGCTGAATCGTAATCAGAGCAAATACTGCTATTTGATCATACAACATACCATTCAACTATATACTATTCGATGAATGACAATAAGTATACTTGTTTTTATTCTCAGGCCTTTTTATAGATTTATTATTTGGCATATTTTTTAATTAATAATGAAAAAATCACAAGATCTTATTTATATAAATTTAGTAATTAAGAGATGTATTTGTATTGTTCTGAAATACAAAAGAAAACATAGGAAAATTTATTCATGAATTTTTATTTTACGTATATCTGTTCTTTCGACAATGCAGTTGAATTAAAAGTTTTATTTTATTCAATAAGGATTTTAAGAAATATTTCGTCATTGTTAGTCGATATGTTCAAACTCGTTGATTGTATCAATTTAGAGAGTATAACACGCTCTAAAAGTATCGAAATATGGAGTATGTTTAGTACAGAGCGATTAATATTACTATACCGAATACAATAAAATGTGTACATGACGTTATTTGTTTATAGTAAAAATATAAACAAGATTTTCATGAAAAGTAAATAATTCTGTTTTACAAAAGGAACGGATGAAAAGAAAATATATTCAGTATTTTAGTTGGAAATTTTTTAATAGCATTTGCTAATAATAAACAATGTCCTGAAAGGCTTCATAAAAAAATATACGTTTCATTTGCACATCATTGTACTGAGAAATTCAGATATTTTCGAGGCGAATAAATGGATTTCTTGTAGTATTGTGAGTGTGGTTCTTATCTAACCCTCACACCCACATGTTGATAAAGTAAAGCATTCGTAGTTAGAATAAAAATCGATTTTTGTTGGAATGACGTAGCATATTCTCAAAAATTAAAATAAATTATTCATTGATTCTGGCAGCTGTGATATATAGAACAGGTAATTGCGTAAAAAAAATTGTTATTCATTTTTTTAATGTAACGATTACGATATAATTTCCGTTCTCAATGAATTTTTATCTGTTATCTTCATTTTTTCAAAAAACTCACTTCTATACGTGGTGGGCCGTTCAAAAAGTGTCCGAACTGATTTTATTATAAAACAGCAGGAAGCATTATTATATTTCTATTAGGGTGTGGGTATGTATATTGTATTCACCTAGCACCTATACCCTTCATCCTGCTATATTATAATAAAACCAGTTCCCATACTCATTGAATGGCCTACATATTTCATGATTCATATTATATC